GAAATTTGCATGTCTGGAAGAATGCTTTACTTTATGGACGTGCATGTGTGATAGGAGTACACATGGTATGAGTGTGTTTGTATGTGTGTGTGCACATGCATGTACATGGATGCCTGTACTCATGGGTGAGTAGAGAAAGGAGATGATGTGGTGAGCAGAGATGTGAATGATGGGAAAATGCAGGCTATTTTAGAGAAATTGAGTCAGCAACACAAGGAAACTCTAGAATAGTAAGTGAGAGATTTAGAAATGGCCACTAAGGGGCGCCTGGGTGGTGCGGTCGGTTAAACGTCCGACTTCAGCCAGGTCACGATCTCGCGGTCCGTGAGTTCGAGCCCCGCGTCAGGCTCTGGGCTGATGGCTCAGAACCTGGAGCCTGTTTCCGATTCTGTGTCTCCCTCTCTCTCTGCCCCTCCCCCGTTCATGCTCTGTCTCTCTCTGTCCCCAAAATAAATAAACGTTGAAAAAAAAAATTAAAAAAAAAAAAGAAATGGCCACTAAAAGTATAATGAGATTTTTCTGGGAGCTGACTGGGCATGGGGCATCTGCATATCTTGGAAGGGAGAGTTTAGTTCTTTTTTAGAATCCAGTAGACGCCTGAGTCTAGGTCTAAACAGTATTGAAGAAAACCATTTTAATTGGAAAATGAGGTTTGAATTTATGGCCCAGGCAAAAAGAACTTTACTTTGGTAAGTAATATGATTCAAACTGTTATATAAGATAGGTGCATACAAAGCAGTGAAGAATCAGTTAGACATATTAAAAATGTTAACAATACTTATCTCTGACTGGTGATATCATAGCAATTTTTAATTTCTTCTTTCTATGCTTCTTTGTGGCTACTAGTTTCATGAGTTAATATATATTAATTTTGTAATTAGGCAAGAAACCAGCAAATATTATTTTGAAAATAAATTTAATCAATTTAATCCATTTAATACGTGTTTTTTTTTTTTTTTTTTTTTTTTTTTTTTTTTTCTGTTGTTGTTTTGGGTATGATCTAATCTGGCAGTCTAAGGGATGATGGAGTGTGACACAGGCTACCACCAAAATATGCCAATTAAATAGTGATGGTTGGTACTATGCTCCACTCAGGATCTAAAGAGGCATATAGCATGCTTCACTTTTAATGGACTTGACTTACAGAAGGCCTATGATGGAATTATAAAGGCAGGAAGGACTCTAACGCCACAGTAGCCCTTCTCTTTCGTAATCTCCTTCATTATCTTGCTCATGGGGATTTAGTTGGATTCCTTTGGTCCCACCATTTTTAATAGTAATGATACATCCCCTTCCCCTAAATTGTGTGATCCATAGTTTTGGGGGACAGTAGGCATGAAACTCCCTCAGTCTCTTCCAACCTTACTTAGCTAAGACAAAACTGGACTTTATCAAAAAGGAACTTCTACAAGGAAATGAAAACACAAAACCAGACATTTTGAAATAGATGCGTTTTAAAGCACAGCCTTCTATCTTAATACTGAAATCAGATCTTGGCATATTTCAGTACCCACACAAATTCTGCATTGTTGGTGAGAGCCTGAAGGAAATGTTAGGATTTTGGCAGTTGTTGACTATTCAGTTTTGTTACTATGTTTTTTGCCCTCTTAGGAATGTATTTTTCCCCAAAAGAAAACATAATTAAAGAGTCCCAGTATCTGATATTAATGGCCAAGTGGGTAACATGACAATACATTACTCTATGCTAAGGTCTTCAAAGAATCTGGCGAGGAATCTGGTGAAAAACTGAAAATTTTAAAGTAGTAAAGTGTACTAAAACATGTTTTTAATCTATATGTGTTTTATTTTATAACTGGAAATTTGTACCTCTTGATTCACTTCACCTATTTCACCTACCCCCACCCCCATCCTTATATGTTTAAAAAGATTTTTTTTAACATTTATTTATTTTTGAGACAGAGAGAGAGCATGAATGGGGGAGGGTCAGAGAGAGAGGGAGACACAGAATCCAAAACAGGCTCCAGGCTTTGAGCTGTCAGCACAGAGCCCGATGTGGGGCTTGAACTCACGGACCGCGAGATCATGACCTGAGCTGAAGTCGGACGCTTAACCGACTGAGCCACCCAGGTGCCCCCCATGCTTATATGTTTAATAGTACCTTTTGACTCAGGTATTTGAAACATTAGACAACGTGATTGTGCAAACTCTTGTTGAGGTTCCTCTAAGTCAAATCCAATCAAAGTGGCCTGACAGAAACAGTATCCAGGGGACTCTGTCTATGGATGCTCCTTTGTCCTTGACTCTGGCAATACTGATACTCCAACTTGTCCAAGTGTAGTGAGACCATTATCTTCGTTCTCTCCTCCTTTTCCTCTTTCTCCTCTTCCTATTGCACTTTTAGGTCCCTGAAATCCCCTTGGTCCTGGAGGTATTTCACTTCTCCCTTGTAAATCTGAGGTCCCTCAAACCCTGCCTGCCTTTTATACTGACTTTCATATACCCTTCTTCTGAAGAATCCTTCTTCTGACTTAGGAATCTTTAGGAAAGTTATCCTTCGCCCTTGAAACATTTGTGGGTTTTGTGGAGTTTATCACAAGCATGCTTTTAACTCGGAATTGAGTTGACTGCTAAAATTCAGCTTTAAGTGATGCCCTGAGCAAGTTCTCCCTTGATGCTCTGGGAATTGAATGACAGACACCATCTTCCCTGGAGTCTGGATCAGTCACATCAGCAGGCTCTTTTGGTTAGAGTCTTTTACATCTCTAAAAGTTTATTTCTCCTTTAAAGTCCTACAGTTTGTATAAGTGATGTCTACCGGTCCCAATTAACCACAAATAAGAGAGAAATAACAGTCTGAGTCCACAGGACAAGGAAGCGTTTTCTAATCTGGGTTATACTCTCTAGTAACAAAGACCTTTGCTAAATCCCTAAGGCTTTCTAGAAAAGGAATACAGTGCCCTTGTCTTTCTGTAGAGAAGTGAGAGGGAAAGAGTGGGGCTTTGGTAGATATAACTCCCCTGTGCTTAATCCTCAGGTGAAAATCTTCCTATCCTTCAGTTGTATTGTCTAGCTTAAGATAATCACATACATCACACATGTCAATGAAGTGATGGTAAATGGAAAGCATGGAGACCGAAGTCAGAAGATGAGAAGGGCAATGTTTGAGTATAAGGCTGTGTCCTGAGGCATGTCTTAACCTTTTGGATTAGGGACTAACCCAGTAACTACCCTGAGCTCAATTTTGTATTGTCTTGAGTCTAAATTGCTCGGGGTAATAATTGTTAGGTCCTGAAATAGGTTACTGACATGATAGTTTCCTTGTCTTCTTTAAATGTCACGATCTTGAATCATACTTATTGACACTTGTCTTCCTGAGGCTTTTGAGTCCATCAAGTGTGTGCAGATTTCATTTTGGTTAATTTAATTGTTTTTCAGCTTTCATCTAAAACTGCCCATCGGCATTTACCTTCCAGGATGTAGCTGGAACTCATAAAGCCATATGGGTTGATAAAGGTCATTTATTCCTACCAATTAGAAAATAAGCTACCTTGCTTCTGGTTAGGAATTCCAAGCACATTTTAAAAAAGGAAATGCCAAAAGAGAACCCCTCCTCCCCCTGCAAAACTTAATTTGACTCATTAAAGGGCTGAGAATTCTCTAGCCAGAAAATCAATTTTTTAGCGGGGCGTCAGGTTGGGATGGGGCAGATCACCAGGAAGAAAAACTCCAAGGAAGAGATAAAAGAGAGAGAAAAAGAAACAAACAAACCTAAGAGTATACATAGGCTTTTATTTTTGGTGTTTCTAAATTTGCACATATGTTCTCCTATATCACTGCAGATTTCTGATGAGAACACTTTTATGTCTTAAAGAAATCTGATGATGATTTGTAAGCAATCTAAAGCAGAGATCTTTATAAAGCTTTTTGAAATAATAATACTGGCATTCCAGATAACCTATATTGTAAGATCTAAATTTGAAATAGGCATTTTTTTGGTGGTGGTGGGAAGAGAAGGGGTTCCATCAGCCAAAATTTTACTACCCTGTCCCTTCTCTCATACTGTGCAATTCTTAGAGCTCTTAAACCATGGCAAGGAGGTGATTATGCTTTCCATTTCTCCAAGGATCTGAGAACATCCATCTAAATAAGCATTTCTAGGAATGCAGGTTTAAAGACTCAGGTAATTCTGATTGGAGAAATAAGATTTTACAGAGAGAGCTGAGGGAAGCAGGTGAAACCTACTATGTGTGGGGTTTGGCCAAAGAAATGCAGGGCTCCTGGAAGGCAGGAGGCAAGCATTTTTCATTCTTCTCCGCACCCAGAGTCCCAGATCTGGTGACCGATACAGATCTATGATACGTAAGAAATGAAACGAGTAATGCCAGCTACGGGGGGACAGAGGCAGGGTGGGCTCTCTCTGGTGGGGGCTGAGGGGGGGG